CGCGTACAGGAATGTGCACCGCCCCCGCGCGGCCCCGCCCCGAGCATCCCGCGCCGACCGGGCCGCGCTGCAGGGCAAGCGTCATGGCCGCTGCGAGACAGCCCCAGGCTGCGGAGCTGCTGGCCGAGGCCCGCAGAGCTTTCCGGGAGGAGTTCGGGGCCGAGCCCGAGCTGGCGGTGTCGGCGCCGGGCCGGGTCAACCTGATCGGGGAGCACACGGACTACAACCAGGGCCTGGTGCTGCCCATGGTGAGGGGCCGGGAGGGGAGCCCCGAGCCTCCCCCGAGGAAGGGCAGGCCTGAGGGGCGCGGGGAGGTGCCTGCCTAGTCCCTGCAGGATGTTGGGCGGCCGCACCGAACTTTAGCCATCCTCCCGCGAGTCTGGGGGACGAGCACGTGGGAGAGACCCGGGGATGGGGTATTTCCCACGTTGGAAGGGAGGAAGCGGGGGATCCGTGAGGAAGTAGGCTAGGAGGGGGTGTGCCGACGCCTCTTCGCTCGAGCCCGCCCTCTGCAGACTGCCGATCCTCGCCATCAACCTGGGAGTCTCCTCAACTTGTGGGGCCCCAACCGCAGGCGGAAGAGGGCGCTTCGGGCTCCGTCTTCCAGGGTCCCCAACCCCGCAGACCTGGGGGAACTAGCCCTAGACCTCCCGGCCCAGGCGGTTCAGTTTACAGAGGAGGAAACTGAGGCCCAGCGAGGGCTAGTGACTTGCTCAAGGTCACAGAGCTGGTTCTTGGTGGGGCTGCGATTAGATCTGGGGCCCTTTCCACCTGGTGCAGCTTGGCAAGTGAGTGGGTACCGCACACCTGAGACCACTCCAGAATGGGAAGGCATCAGTTGGCGCTCCTCCGACTCTCTTTTCCTTTCGAGCTCTCCTTCCCCTTGCCCCACAACTGGGAGCCCATGTTCAGGCAGAGTCCAGGTCCACACTTCTGCCGCACTGGCCGTGCCCCTGAAGACCCAGGGGCAGGACCCAAGCCCCCAGGGCCAACTCAGCACTTAGATTCTTCCCCAAGACGTCCCCCATTCCTTTCTTGTTGAGTCTCAAAGGGAATCTGAAACCTTTCATTCTTCAGAACTTTAGTGTGGGCGGGGCCTCATCCACTGGTCAGCAGGCAGAAGCTGTACACACTCCCTGTCTCTCCTGCCAGGCGTTGGAGCTTGTGACCGTGCTGGTGGGCAGCCCCCGGGCAGATGGCCTTGTCTCCCTCCTCACCACCTCTGAGGATGCTGATGAACCCCGGCGGCTGCAGTTTCCGCTGCCCACAGCCCAGCGGTCCCTGGAGCCTGGGACCCCCCGCTGGGCCAACTATGTCAAGGGAGTGATTCAGCACTACCCAGGTATGGGACCGAGGCCAGGGTCAAGTTCACACCGTGCTAGGAGCACCACCTCTCAGCTACAAAGCTCATTAGCTCATCTAAGCACCACGGGGTAGCTAGCAGGGGGAGAGTATCCCCATTGTACAGGTGATGAGACTGATGCCCTGAGAGGTTCCAGAACTTGCCCTGAGCTGCCCATTATATGATGGGAGGAGCCAGGATTCAAACCCCTAGCCCGTTGGCCTCCAGAGCCCTAAACCAGGAGGAGAGCTAGGAAGACTGTGTCCTAGGAACCTCAGGGTAGGAGGATGGAGGGTGCTGGGGCCAAGGTGGCCTCTGACAATTGAGACTCATCCCTGGAAGCAGCTATCAGGCAGTTGCCTCCCTTCATACCAAAATACAGGCCCTCCTCGGGCCCATCCTCTCATATGGCCCATCTCACCACCACCCATTCTTTCCAGCTGCACCCCTCCCTGGCTTCAGTGCAGTGGTGGTCAGCTCAGTGCCCCTGGGGGGTGGGCTGTCCAGCTCTGCGTCCCTGGAAGTGGCCACGTACACCTTCCTGCAGCAGCTCTGCCCAGGTACTTCCTAGACCCCGGCCCCTGATCCAGCCCTCCTTCCCTGAGGTGTCCTTGTGGTCAGAGCTTCTTCCTTCCTCTACTGTGGCTTCGGGAGGAGGGTGGGGAATCTCCCTGGAGTGTCACTGGAACTACCACGGCTCCCACCCGCCCCCACCCC